ATATTAAAATAAATCAGGCGATTCTCATATAAACAATGAATTATTAATTGAGTAATTTATGCACTTGCAATAATATTTGACATTATTTTTATTTTTTTTTTTTTTTTATTTTTTTGGTTGCGACAACAACAGTTTTATGTCCTTATATAAAACGTAGAAGCTATTAAAAACTTTTTGTTGCAGAAAAGCACCAATAGAACCGAACTGGGATACACATCCGACAGTATTGAAGAAACAATCGAGAGTGTCTCGAAGTAATAGCTCAGTTGGCGCGTATCATTCGAGAGATTTTAGATATCATTCTCTTTCTCCAGGTCCGCGATCTTCCACAGCACCATGTACACCAGGGACACCGGGAATTAGTCCCATCATGTCAAGAGCTAATAGTGTTAGCAACAATGTACCTGATATTGCACCACAGGTAGTAAAGATTTATATAGAATCCGCTTTGTGTTCTCTGAAATGAACATTCCCAATCTACAAAGTATTTTTTCTTCCTTTTTTTTTTTTATTAATACGACATTTAAATGTAGATTAATACAAAGCAGTTTGTTAAAATGCAGTCTTTCTTACAGCCTGCATGGAAGTTTATTATCTTTAAGCATCTTTTCTTCGGACAGGTATCTCATATATCTGAAGATTTGAGAGATGCTTATACTATTCTCTTTTTCTTTTATAGTATTATTAGAGTAATTAATTTTAATTTATCTCTTCACACAAAATCACAAATATAACATAATATGTACATAATGTATCAATTAATCAAATAGGTTTTCACGCGTGCTTTGCCTCTTTTCTAATAAATGCAAAAATATTTATGTCATATATATTCTTTATTGCTAGCTTTTTCAAGCAAGGGATGCTCATCGATACATGACAGAACGATCAAACAGAATGTCAAAAGTTGTATATTTCTCTTTTAGATTCCTCCATTGCCTACAAATTATAGACCAACCGTTGCACCTGCTATGTGTGCCCCGTCAATACCGGCATTCTGTATGGACGATGAACAATTGAACGTGTTAAAAGTGATAGAGAAGAAACCAAATAGCAATCTTATAGATTTGAATAATTTTGAGCAAACAGAGGACAAAACAAATGTGCGAGTTAGCGTGTTGGAAGCATTCGATCCATTACTTATTAAAACTGACAGTGGAAATGATTCTGTGCAAGAATATAGAGACGGTAAATTATATAATCTCATATTTTCTATTGGCACAATAAAATCTCTGTTATTCAAATTAGTTGTGATTAAGAAGTTCAGGCGCTGATGAGTTTTCATATAGTTTATAATTTCATAATTTTCTTTTTTTTTTTTATATTGCAAACGATTTGTCGATTCAATATCTGATTTCTATCTCTGTTATAGTAACACCATGTTTTTTTTTCTTTTTTTCTTTTTTTTACATGATTTATTGCATTACATTTTTTTATTTCTGTCATTAAAACATTAGCAATATTAACATTTCACTGATATTTTTACACGTGAAATTTAGACTACAATTAATAATATATTGTATGTAACATACACCTAAATGTATTTCTATTGCAATATTATATCTTTATTCTTGTTTCCTAGATGATACTGTTCAGTTAATAGAAATTCTATTGTAAATTATTGGTGTTATAGTATAAAACAAAATTTTAAATATACGTCTGAAAATATTTCTTATAAATAAAAAGAAGATTTTTTTTTACTACTGTAGATCAATTTTTTTACAGATTTGCAATCACAAGTTAGTGGCAGTGTATACGATCCATTCGATCCATTTGATTATATGTACAGCACAAACGAAAGCGTCAACTCGGATCCAGTTTACGCTGCTGTGGAAAAATCTGCAAAATCGCCGGCTATGTCACCAGCTGCACCACCTCCACTGCCTCCTCGCAATTCGTCCGCATGGAATACCATAGAAAGGCGAAAAACTTCTTTAGATCGTCGAGTAAGTCTCGGAATAGTTATGTCCAAAATTTTGGATAAAATAAATAATCATAATTACATTTCAATATTATTTCTAGCAAAAACGTCAAACGCGATTGTACGAAAATGTAACTGTCATAAAAACCAGATCATCTCTTCATGATTGCGATTTGAAGGCATTTCATAAGATAATAAAGTCTATACGAAGTTAGTAGAATGTTTCATACATTATATATTATATTTTAATCGATACACATCTTCGTTATTCACGATTTTATTTAATTTGACATTATTTAAGGCGAGTTTCCATTTAATGATCCTAATACAAATATTGGGTACGTTGTCAGCCCAATAATGGAGAATTTATATCCGGATGGCACAAGTATAAAATTAGTAGTTCATCCACAATTAGCCAATAATGATAAAGATCCTGCACCATCTATTTCTTTTACTTGCAATGGTAAGTAATAATTAAAGAAATCTGTTTTAAATTAAGATTTATACCTCTTCTTTGCATTACATTGCTCTAAATATTATATTTCAGTGAATTGTAGCGTTGAGCACGTTATCTTGAATGTCGCCTGTTCCTTAGAAGATGAGGATACAGTAAATGCAGAAAAATATTGTTTAAGAGTATGGGGTTTAGCTGAATACTTTGCACCTAATACGACCTTAGCACAATATGAATACATACATCAATGTATTAAGTTGGAAAAAGATATTGAATTAGCTATAATGAGCAGAGCACAAATTAAACAATCAATTGCTCGAACAGTCAGTATCAAATGCATTGTATATATTTATTTAAGCATTTAGTTATTTAAACACTAATCGTGCTATTTTTATTTTCCAGCTACAAGATGATAATTGCGATCAATATTTAAGATTAGAAGATATTCTACCAAATGAACCTTTGCAGCCTATTTCATATGATACATTAATTATTTTACTAGGTATAACCATATACACATATATATGTATACAGAAATTCCTTATTTATGATATATTTACTTGGATATTGCATTTTCCAATTGTAGAGACAGTGGAGAAAGAAATGGAACGTGTAGAGAATGCTGCGTTACAATTGGTAAACACAAATCAGGGTTCTGTTTTACTACCTCAACTTCAACCACACTGTGTGGTGCAAGCAGTAAAAGCGGTGTGTGCCTTAATGGGAAGCATCGAGACTTTCGAGATCACGGAGGCTATTGACAATTTCGTAAATGCTTGCTGCCAATTTTTACCGCAATGTCACACAGCCAATATAGAATGTAAAAAGCCCGAAATCATACATGAAGATGGCGATTACGCTGTGGTTACCTTGAGAAAAAAGTTTCCCGATGTAATTTCCTCGCATTGTCATAAAATTCGCGATGCCGTTCAAGAACTCGTCGAGACGTACTGTCACGCATTCAGAGTTGATTTTCAATTAAATAGCAAAGGAGAATTTCCGACAAGTAAGAATAATATGCAAGATACTTTGCATTAAAAAATGTTGATGTTAAAATCATAATATATCATTTCTTGTTAATAGATACACTAATTTCATCGGAAGTAATCGATACTATTCTGGTACGCGTCGGAGCTCTACATAGACTGCCAACCACATGGAAACATGACGATTATATAGTAGCAGCTCAAATCTTTCATGGAACCAGACCGGTAGGAAATCCAGTCTTGTCAGAACCAATGACGGTCAGCACGAATTTCTATCCAAGAGTTTTATTTAATTCATGGTAAGAATGGGAACACATTCGACATATCCACTTTCCAAAAGAAATATGCTTATGAAAATGAATTAAAATCATACAATTTATATTAGGTTGGAATTTCGCGGAATAAGCGTTTGTCAAGTACCAAGGGAAGCCAGACTTGTGCTAGTTCTTTACGGCCGTACTTTACAACCAACCGAGCATGAATCAAATTCGTCAGCGGAGAATTCAATGCAGAAGGAAGAACTCGGATGGGGTGCTATACAATTCTTTGATTATGACGGGTAAGTGACGCGTACTATAAATTACCATCCTTTTTCACGCAAAATTCTTTTTTATCTTCGATGATATATCAACTATATATACGTTTTCTTGTGCATATTTTTATACGTCTTTATTTTCAATTCTAGTGTTATGAGCCAAGGAAATTTTTTTCTGTCCCTTTGGCCAGCCATCGCAGACAAAAGATTAGGTCCAGCGCCGGCGCCTGGAATTCATCCGCGTGGTGATACTCACCCCATTATAGGCTTAGAATTGCCTGATTATGGAGGAAGAGTGTTATTCCCCACAGAGTTGAGAGATTACGATGTAGAATCGCTAGATTTTAATTCGTTAGATCAAAATACACAAGAACTATTGATAGATATTACACAGCAGGATACATTCTCTAGGTATGCTCTAATGATTCTAATGTAATGATCATAAAAAGTGAAGAAAAATCTCTCTAAAATCTTAAACTCTAATGTAAAAACCAATTCTTATTTTCAGACCGCCCATTGACGAAAGGGAAATTTTATGGGAAAAAAGACATTACTTGCACGACAGACCTGAAGCTTTACCTAAAGTATTATTAGCCGCGCATAGTTGGGATTGGGCGTGCTTGCCGGATTTACACGCTTCGCTCAGAGTTTGGAGCTCGCTACCTCCGATACAAGCTTTACAATTACTTTTACCGTGGTATGTTTTTATGAAAATTATTTCTTTATTATAGAATTTTTTCCTGAAAAAGACAAAGAATGTCTCGTAGAACACCACGTTTTTCTTGTTTTTCACAGTTTCCCAGATATGAAAGTCAGAGAAATGGCAGTTGGATGGATTCGCGAGTTAAGTAATGACGAACTTATCGATTACTTGCCACAACTACTTCAAGCAATGAAACACGAGACGTACGAAGCTTCACCTCTGACTCGATTCTTATTAGAACGTGCCTTATTTTCACCGAGGGTGGCCCATCACATTTACTGGTTGCTAACTCAAGCGCTGCCGGGACAGAGTCCCCAGGTACAGGTTGGGTGATGCGTTGATAACATTATAAATTGCTTGTGCATTTTATATTAAGGATTAATAGTAACAAAATATTCTCATTGCAATAAAAATGAATTGTAGTGATTAAAAAAAAATACTTATATTTTTATATAAACAATAAAATTGAAAGAATAAAGTTGCTTAATGTGGACTACATTATTACATATGAAAACTATTGTAATAAATGATATTATTTTTCTTCAGAATTCTGCTGAAATTGCTGCAGAAGATGACAAAGCCATTAGTTGTGCTCGTTATCAACGAAGATTGCAATTAATGTTAAGAGCATTACTGGCAGTTATTGGAGATGCGCTGAGAAATAGTTTCCTGACCCAACAATTGCTAGTTAAAGTATGTTTTAATTATGCATATAAGTATATATATATATATCTCTCTCGGTTTTACATCAAACGGCTTAACTTGCAATTTGTCGCACAGAATCTGTATGAAATAGCTGAAAATATCAAAGTTACGAAGGAATCGTTACGAATGGAGACACTTAAAACTGGTTTACAAAATATACACTGCCAGTTAATGGAGGATGACGGCACGTGTTTACCACTATCTCCTAGTAAACTAGTATTTGGTATCAACGTACAGACGTGCGCCTATTTTCCGTCGTTCACTCTCCCGTTGAAAATTAACTTTATTAGTTGCGACAATGTGATAAGTCCGGCAATCTTCAAGGTATGTGTTTTCTAACTAATCTAATAGAAATATTCTGTGAAACTATTTTATATTCACGTTTTCGATGAATATACGCGTCGTGCTTTTTTTTTCCAGGTCGGCGATGATTTACAGCAAGATATGTTGACTCTCCAAATGGTACGCATTATGGACAAGTTGTGGTTAAAGGAAGGTCTTGATTTGAAAATTGTCACCTTTGCCTGCGTGCCCACCGGCCACAAACGAGGAATGATAGAGATGGTAACGGATGCAGAAACATTACGGAAGATCCAAGTTGAATTTGGGCTAACCGGACCGTTTAAGGATCGACCGATTGCAGAATGGCTAGCGAAGCATAATCCCTCTGAGTTGGAATACGAGAGGGCGGTAGAAAATTTCACCGCGTCTTGTGCCGGTTACAGCGTCGCTACTTATATCTTGGGAATTTGTGATAGGCATAATGATAATATTATGCTAAAAACATCTGGTCATTTGTTTCATATCGACTTTGGAAAATTCCTTGGCGATGCGCAAATGTTTGGAAACTTTAAGAGGTAAATATACATACATATACGACAATTTATTATATAACTTACGCGTATTTATTATTGATTATGCAAGTGTTATTACTATACATGTTTCATTCCTATTTTAATTCGAATAACAAGAAAAGTATGTGCGTAATCTTGTGTGGTATACTTTTTCAATTAGAGACCGAACGCCGTTTGTGCTGACATCAGATATGGTATATGTTATAAACGGTGGCGATAAACCCTCGGCGAAATTTCACCATTTCGTGGATTTATGCTGCCAAGCTTTTAATGTAGTGCGGAAACATGGAAATCTGATTCTTCATCTTTTTGGACTGGTATGTTTTATATAACATTTATACTTTAAATAAAATAATTAATAATTAATTTTATGCTAACATCTATGTACCAAATTTTCATTCAGAAAAATTATGTTAAAATAGTATTTAAATTGTACAATTAAATTGAATAGATTTTAACATAAAATTTAATTATTTTAGAAGGATATATACTTCTCTTTGGTATTTAGCTAATATAACTTTTTAATTAATTAATTATTATAAATACAAGCGCATTTCATGTAAAATATATAATGCATATAAATAGAATGCATTTTAAATAAAGAATTTACGAATTATATGGTCTTCGACACCGCTCTGAAAACAATAAAGCCACAACGGAAGGACTTTATCCGTAATGTTTTATCAGAAAGCGGACCGCTATCGCACTAAACTATACACAATGTTGTTAATTGGTCATTATCGCCCGCACTCTTACAAAATATCGTACGCTGCAGCAGTCTGAGTCAATCACATTGAGAGTAAAGTGCCATTGAAAGTGAATAAAAATTCGAAGAATCGTTGTAAAGTCACCATAATATCTCCATAAAAATTGTAAACATAACCGATGAATAGGGAGAGCCATTTGTTATCATCTGAACAGAGATAGATTCACACACATACAATGGATGATTTAATATCCCGGAAAAATCTTTTCGATCATCCACATAAACGAGATGTTATAGCGCGAAAATTGCACGATATCGAAATAAAAGATCATTTAAATAAAGCAAGAATGAATGAGTACACCACTTCGCAGATGACTTCGTCCGGTATTCCTGGGGTTACTATGGACGCGGTAAGTTATGTGCAGAAGGCACTGCTTCCCGGGCAAACAAATCCCGAAGCAGCGGCGACTTTCGCTCGAATGATAGAAAGTTCCTTGAAAAGCTGGTTCACGCAGTTCAACTTCTTCTTGCATAATCTGGCACAGCTCAGATTCTCCGGAGATCACAGTGAAGGAGAACTGTTGTCTTTTATTCCGCGCACGTACACGTGAGTATATTTTTCCATCTTTAATATCATATAATTGATTACAACCGCGAAAAATCGAAGAATACGACTCTTCTGGTTTCTCGCGGATACCAATCAATTGATTTATTTACAATTATTTATGCAATTAACATAAGTTTTATATTTGTACAATCATTGTAGAATGCAACAGGAAGGTCAATTAACAAGCGTGCAGGTTCACGGATATCAAAAACGTTACGATCCGGAAAAATATTACATGTATATTCTGCGAATACAACGAAAAGGACAACCGGATCCGACGTATCTGTTCCGATCGTACAAGGAATTTTGTGAATTCTACCAAAAATTGTGCATACATTTTCCACTTGCTAAAGTAGCCAGGTAAAGATTATCTCATTGTCATTATTATTCTATTTTTCATAACGATTAATGCAAATATTACAAGATTATCTCACAATATATACATTGCATATCTAGTTATATATTAAAGCACTTTTTATTTCTATATATATATATATATATATATATGAACATATAATATATTACATATTTGACTCTTTATATAATTAAATTTTAATTTTAATTTTGAATACATAAATTATATATAAAGATAGTAAATATAACATAGAAATATCATAGAAGAATCGAGACGAATATATCCACCTTTCATATATGAGACAGAGACGTCTTTAAACATATAACATATTTCTCTCTTATTAAATCACTAACTCGTTATTTGAGGGATTCTTTGTATCTGAATTATCATTTTGCTCTCTATTCATCTTATTTGATTCCTCATTTCGTGACAACGATTCTTCTTTTAAGTTTGAATCTTTGGATGTAGAAGGCTCCGTGTGTACAATCACATAGTTATCATGCCATATTTCTTCCGAATCAATAATTGACGACGATGATAATTGACTCGCAAGGTCTGCTTTCGAACGGTCATATTGCGCTCCTTCGTTATTGGCAATTGCTGTCGATTCACTGGCGATTGAAAGAGAGGAGATCTCATTTTTTCGCATCGCCAATACATTCGATTCAAAGTGTGAAACTCTCCGATATAAGCCCGTCATTACTGGAACTTTAGACGCTTCTTTCTCCATCGATAAACGTGCTCGAAACCATTTTAAGCCCATCTTTTCCAGAATTTATTATTCTGGATCTCCTATGAAAATACGATATATTTATTAAGTATAATTTTATATATACCTCTCTCCCCTAAAATTAATATATTATCTCATTTTGCTGTTTTGCAACATTAATTTTCCTGATATAATATAAGATAACATTTAATAAGAACTATTATACAAAATAATAACATAAGATAACGTATAATAATAACTATTACCAAATACTTACAATGCAAAACTGTCAAGAGAATTATGATCACTTTGCTTGCTGAAGAGAATAGATATCGAGTGCTAAATTTTCACGAGAAATCGAATTATGATAATCACATCCGTTATTATTAATTTCAAACGATTACAGATCATATGGCAAGACAGAAACGGCACGTAGAATGTTCACAAAACGTATATAAGAAGATATCTTAAATGCGAAAACTCTCAGCGCATAATATCGCACCTTTTGATATGCTTTATCTTTAGATTATCCGATATTAGTCAGACGTATCACAACAGTCTTAGTCATTCCAAGATTAATTGTCAAGCGTAGCGGAAAATTAATTAAGCGCAAATATCGTAAAAAGCGACTTAATTAGAACTAGCATTCCCATTACGCAAATTAAAATAGTGTTTAAATTTATTATCTTTTTTTTTTTTTTTTTTTTTTTTTTTTTTTTTACTGTAGTATAAATATTTCATACAATGCCACTACTGCTTAACACGATTGTTTGATTTTTATTATATTACTTATTTACGGAACACATATCATATATCTGATAATACGTACATTATAATCTTTCAAGAGAATGAGGATGTTTACGAATACGAAAGTATTCCCGCGTTTACCAGCATTTCAAGAGAGTAACCCCGACTCTTTCTATTTTTCTCACAGTTTACCGAGTGGAATAAGCGTGGGACGCTCTAATATTAAGCAAGTAGCTGATAAACGGCGAGCGGATATAGAGAAGTTCCTTGTAAGTCTATTTAAAATGGCACCCGAGATTTCCCAAAGCGATCTGGTATACACTTTCTTCCATCCGTTGTTGCGAGACCAACAGAATGCCGATATACGTTTACGTAAAGTCAAAGGTATATTATTTGGTATATTATAAAAATATTTTTTCAAATATATATATATTTTTTTAAATTTGTATGTATGTATATATAAAACACACTCATAATATATTACAATTATTATAATATTTAAAAATAAAGATTTGCGATCACACATACAGAAGAGCTGTAAAAAATGGAGTTAATGAAAATTATCGTCTAACACTTGGCCGATTTTCAATTGCGAATGTTTGAATCTTGTAATGAAATTCGTAATTTATGAAATGGCAATAATTATAGACAATGTCATTTTCATACAATAGTTGGAAATTGGTGGGCCGAAAAGAGAATCAGAGATAACGTACAGAGCGGTCAGATCAAGTTGTCTCTTCACTACACTCGTGGTACTTTGTCCGTCATGGTTTGTCACGCCCGAGGACTCCCCAAAGTCGCTAATGCTCAAGAACCGAATACATACGTAAAGGTATATCTTAAACCCGATCCTACAAAAGCGACGAAACGGAAAACGAAAGTAGTAAAAAAGAACTGTCATCCATCATTTATGGAGATGGTAAGTAATAAAATCAGATTTAACAAGCCCTATGAACAAATAAGAACATATATTAATCATTTGGTAATTAAATGATGTTATAATATCTTTTTTATCGCTCTCTAGTTGGAGTACAGAATGCCTCTAGATGTGATTAGAGAGAGAACACTCGAAGCAACGATATGGAATCACGATACATTGCAGGAGAATGAATTTCTCGGTGGTATAAGTTTACCACTTGGACGTCTGGACTTGACAAACGAAACCATTGAATGGTTTCCGTTAGGTAGTGTACGATGAAGCGAGTACGAAGACTGTTCTGGAATAAAGTCTCTCAATACTCATAAATGTTATCATTAGGGTATATAGGAAACGTACCGTTAGCGCACAACATTAAAACTTTTTTAGTATGCACAAGCAAGTGCAATAATCACTATGCTTCACGAGATGAAAAATAATTTGTATTTATATAATTTTGTGCATCTCACAAGCAGTTTCGTTTCTTTAACAAAGTAAAGATTCGATATAATAAATATTAGAAATTGTGTGATATCTCGAAATGAGATAGCTATATAAAAAAAAATTAGAAAGTAAAAAGGGTCAACTTCTACAAAAAATTGCTAATAATATTAGTATACATAACGATTATACCTAAAAAGTATCTAAATATACATATGCAATGAGCGTGCATAACAAATAGAAAGGAAATGAATGTTGCGAAAGTTTAGAATTATATATCTCTATCATGTTTATATATATAGTTCTCTAATTATATATTTTTAACGAAAAATATCTTTAAAAAATATGAAAAATTTAGCATGAATTTAATCTATATATTATTTAATCTATATATATTGGAGAGAGAGAAGTTTACTCTTTTACAGAAATTTTATACACTTATTTATTTACGTCACTTTTTATCAATTATATTGACCATCAATTGTAAATAGAAATTGAATGCATTTTGTATCACACAAATGTAGTAATGAAATTATTTCTAATCGGCTATAATATACTGAATTCTTTTAGAAATATTTTATAGTCTAAGTGAAACACTATACAATTTTTTATCACTTATATCTAGTTAAAATTTAAATTTTATATAACATATATGTATAATGGGCTCGCATATATCACTCACTTTTATGATGTTATTTTACTATTAGAAAAAAATCCACATATATATAATATTGCCTGTTTATATGTAATGGCCTCATTTATAATAAATGAACATAATATTAAATTATGTAAATATGCTATCAAATTTATGTAATAAATCATCTTTAATTATCTTACACTGCAACGTATATCTGTTATATCATGCACACAAACAAACATCTGTGCTATAATTCTATGTATAAATTTTTAAAAAATTATTTTTTTCAACAAGTTCTAAAACTTTCATTTAGCTTGAAAATATATAATTGCCTCCTATACACACATATATATATATAAATTTAACAATTTCATACGCTTCGAATATTTATAAAATTTTAATTAAATTGAAGCATAAAATTTACCTGCTTTATAGTCAGAGGGAATCCTAACAACGGCTAATGCCGGCATTTTTTATATGATAATCATTAAATCTCCCCGCACAATATATATATATATATATATAGTATCATTATATAATAATGGAAATATTTATAGTCACATATGCTTTTCAACATTTTCTATCGACAAAATTATTATTTGATGTGTGTGTTAGCACGGACACATACCAAATTTTATCGACAGAGTTGAAAAGTATAGTTGGCTAAATAATTCAATTATATATGATGGCGCTGTTTTGCGAGGGATTTGTGGTTTGTGGTTTGTGGTTGTCGAAAACCCAGCACGCGCGCCTGTCTCTGTCCTCGAATTTCTGTCGAATGAAAACGAAAGACATCTTCGAATAAATCTAAACAAAGAGCCATTTTAATACCTGCGCTGCATTTGATATGCCAAAATAATATATAAAGAAGAGATATCTACACAATTTAAAAAAAGATTGAGAAAGCCGAGATTTTATAGCCGTGAGTATAATGTATATAACGTACAAGACCCATAGAAAAAAGAGAGAGAGAGAGAAAAAGATTTATACTATTTATGTTTAAAAAATTATTTATAAAGTATATAACTAGATATATAAGAAAAGTCTATGACCGCTTTTTTAAATAAACATATTTGCAGAAAATATTTCACTTTTTAATGTATGCATTCTTATATTAAATTGAAAAAAAAATATTATACATATTATTACACCCAAACATTTGTTTCCCGCGCTTTAGGACTCTTTACGACAAATTTGTTTAATATTTCGATCATTATAAGATGTAATTTTTCAAGTTTCAATTTCCGTTTACGTACACACACATTTAACGTTTTCTTTTTCTGTATTTATTTTTAGGTTGTTTGTCTTGATCTCAACTGTGTTAACCTAGAGATGTTTATATTTTTTTTTCATATGAAGAGCGTAGATGACTCTCCTGATTTACGCATTTTTTACATTTGCATAATCCGTTATGACTTTCAATGATTTAAAATATTACGTAATATATATATATATATATATATTAATACATTTTTTACTATCTTTTTAGGAGGAGAAAGATTGTGTGTGTGCAGAAGAAATTAAAATGGAGCTGTTTAGGAAAAGTGATTAAGGATAAAAGAAATATCTAGTGCAGCCAAATGGAAATAAAGGTAAGCAAAAAAGAATAATTGATTTTTTATTCAATTTTTTTATATCTGCTTAATTCCAAACTTAAGAAATACAATTTCTTCTGAAGTTTTTGCGGCAATATTTTTAAGAACAATTTATGTAAAAATTAATTTAAACAAAATCTCTCTGTTTTTCTTTTTTATATTCAAATTACTATTTTCAACGACACTGAAATTTTTTGATATAAAATTTAAATTCAAAAGGATTCCAAAGCACGGAATCGAAACATTTGGGTGTAATAATACGTAATAATTTTTTTCGGTTTAATATACGCATACGCACTATCAATAACTGTTTTACCTCTATTATTGGCCATTCTCTAGTTTAAGTTTTTGATAGAATATTTGATTATATATAATTATAGAATAATTGATAAAATAAATATTTTTTATAGAATAATTAGAGTGTGTAAATTCGATTTAATTATTTGAACAGCTTTACAGCTTGATTCAATTTCGCGTTTTATGTAATCATATTTAAATCAACGATTTTTAAACAATGATTCATAAAAATACTTTGAAAAAGTTGGACGTATTCTGTAAAAAAAAAACTTGTTTTATTTAAAATTCAAATTAATTTTTTAATTTAATTCAAAGTTCAAGTATAATCTTCACATAAAACCAAATAAATCCAAGGCTTGTAATTCCGCTGTTATCGTTAAAATCCCGCTTGTGAAGTTATCCGATTGAACTCTATGCATACTTGGAATGCGCACTCGCATTCATAAAACTCTCCTGATACTTTTTATACGAGAAGTATATATATATATACATACATATGTATTTGGAAGAATACGTTTCGATATATTCAATAATGTTGTGTGCGTGGATTTACTACATGCCCCGTTTATACATACATTTGCTTCACATATATTTTGTGTGAAAACATTTTTCATTATTCTTTTGCTTACATCTACGATCTGTTACCTGCTCGAATATCGTGCCATTATGAGAAACTCACCTATCCAAGCTTTAGCAATATGAAAGAAGGCAAGAAATATTCCAATTGGCCACCACGTATTTCTCGAGCCTAACCCACACTGCAAAAATTTCTTTCCCTCCATGATACACAAAAGAAATTCGGATATGGTCGGATCTCTTTTCCGAGAGGCGGAGTCAAACGTTTAGAATAAAGTTTTAACGGTGTACGAAACCAAGAATGGTTTGATTGCTGGATTAAAAGCTTGCCAGATTAAAATCTTTTCTTCCCGATCTCAACGAAATATCGTAAATCATGATAGGTATAATTAATATCTATGCAACATCTTTAGATTTTTATATAAGATAGAAATATTTTTGCTACTCATAATTCAACTCTGCCAGCTATTCTTCAGAATATTCTTCAAATTAATAAACATCTAATCCGCGATAAATATCTAATTCGACTCATTTTTTTGTCATCAAATCCAATCGTTTTATTCCGATTCATTTTTTTTGTCAAACTTAATTACTTTGTGTATCCGCGTAAATATAATTATTTAACAAATAACGAAACAAAAAGGCTTAATAAAATTTTAAAAAATTCACATAGAAAATGGGCTAGTAATCGGTTCTCGACGACTTCGTTGCTATGATTTTCACACCTTTGTCTCTCCAGAAACAAGAGATTAAAGAGGGGTTATTATAAATCTCGAATTGAGATTAATTTAATCTTGGTTTAGAACCAAGTAAATTTTGTATCCTGTGCGCATGGTCAGTTTCATGGAAAACTTATTTTTCTATGAGACTGGCATTCGCATCTGGCTCTTACTAACTCGCGATTATTTAATAAACTTGTAATTTTACTTGAGAGCCTTAATAATTTCTTAAATTGTTTAATATATAACACTGCTAAATAATTAGTAGAGAACCTTTCATTTTCTTTCGTTTGTGCACATCTCAGTTTCAAAATATCGATTTCTTCGAACTCACTTTTTAAGGCAATCTATAGCGCAGAACTGGTGACATACAAATATTGTAGACCTAACAATAAGTGGAACAAATTTTATTGTGAACTGTGTCAACACTGATCCAAGGTTTTGTAAAAAAAACTTTCTTTTTTTTCTTTTCGGTGCTTAGTGGACGAGACTGTCGTAAAATCCGAATGCAATTTATTCTCTGCAGGAGTATCCGAGAATGTTTCTTCCGAAATGTGGCGGCAAAACATCAAGGAAATATCTTGCGTAAGTCTGGAATTATCATGCAGTAAGCATGCGTCCGCATGCGGTCCACAAAAGATTTGACACCTAGGGTTTTTTCGTTATAGAGACCATTCTTCGTTAATGTTATAAGAATGAAGTTAATCTCTACACGAATTTCACACTTTAGAATTATTTTTTAAAAATTATTTTAAAAAATTTTTGTAATATTTTATTACAAAAAGATATTGATCACCTTCCATTGCTGTATCTTAAGTTCTATTCTAAGTTTTTGCTCTGAGGTTCCCTGGCTTTTCGTCGATAAATAATAAGACAATATATCTCAATTATTATATCTCGTGTGTGCTGTCGCCGATAAATTGTTATTAATGATATAATAATTTAATAACAAAATACAATATTCTTTTTTTGTAATGTGATTGAGACAAAATCTTGTGTAACATGTGCCGCTGTATTCACGCGTTGAACTATTATCAACATAAAAATCAAGCAACTCCTCGGGTATAATAACACAGTAACAATAAATTAGCCAAATATATATATGTATATAATCTTAATGAGTAACTTTCTATGCGTTCCACGGAACTCGTCGCAAGAACGAGATAGAGAATGCTATTTAAAGCATCATCGTAAATATTATGCAATCGCAATTAATACCTCTAATGTGTACTTACCGAGATATCGTATACGCTGTGTTGTGCGACAACTGTGACATATTATATAGTATGAGTATCAAATAAATCATGCGGATAATTTTTTTAATTTAATCCTTTGACAGTATCGAGTTTCAAAATATACCGAGTTTAGCAAATACGATTTTGCAAATATTAAAAAAAAGCGTGAGTTAATACGAATCATTGCATAATATAATTTAAGTGCAATATACGAGTATGTTCATATTATAACAACAAGCATATGTATAAAATGTGATGTAGACATGACGACAACATCTTAAGCTTTCATGAATGCCCTTCTTTATTGATTTCAAAAAAAAGGAGATTTGTTTCTTAAAATTTTGTCCGATACACAGTCATATATAGTATTTTTATTAATTTGCCTCAATCGAATGAAATTATCACTAACTGACTTTCTTAAATATAACGTGTTCGATTAGCCATCGTGTTTCGAATCATACTTGGGATAATCTCTCGATTATATTATTACGCGCTTCCAGGATCTAATGTTATGCTCGCCGATTAAACGTTTGAACTTCTGACCGGCTATAATACCGGTGCGAGAGCTTTCCGCGGCCCTCAAGGACGAAGGGCTTTTAGGTACTAATTTTATGTAAAGTTATGAGACGTTGCGGTGCTCTGATGTGCCATCACGCTTCCCGCAGGTGCTATAATCGAGAGGTTGCGTTTCACGACCGCCCCGCGTTGCAGTATAACTAAATGTTCTGCTAGGAATTCCGAGTTATCCTTTCGACATAACAGGGAGCATTCAACGCAAAAATAAACTAACGAAATTTTTGGATCTTATGAAAAGTCGACGCATATCCCTTATTCGTAGACGAAAAAAAATAGAGAGTGTATAAATCGAAAAGAGCGAGGAATTTTAATAAAAAAAGCAAGTACGAACAGAATTAAATTGCTAAGATTACATTACTCCATGATATTGTAATTTGTAAAACGGTATTTTGTAATTAAACTATTTTAACGTTGCTTAAAAATCCAAAAACATTCAGGTGCAAAATTATCTCAACTAGATGCAATCTTATTCCATTTTATGTTCATTAATCAATTGGAAAATATATGTGTATGCATATATAAATATAAATATAAATATGTATATATATTTATATATTTTATAAAAAACCTACGCTTTTTGTAAAGGACTGATTTTAGAAAAAATCTGCAATATATATATATAAATTGAATTGATCAACAAGTTAATTATAATAGGAATGCTACGAAAGATATCGTCATGCAATGCATAAATAAGCTGCAGCGGGCACTCTACGCGCGCCTTCAGCGCGGTGAAGTGTTTATGGCGTCATAAAAAAATAAAAATAGAGAACATTTTTACAGGCTGATCATTAAAGCCGGCTCGGCGAGGCAACGAAGATGTCCGCCAATTAATGTCCGCGGGCTCTCGCGTAACTATAACTCTCCATTATGCACAACGTGAGAGATATATCGAATTATCTTCGTTTAATCAAGTTTTTTCGTTTTTTTTTACATTTATCGTAAGGAATTATTATTCTCCCATATTTAATAACTTGAACTTACGAGTCGTAAATTAACAGAAGAAATTAAAAATCTTAGATTAATAAAACAAAAATGTGAGTTATACATAGATTAATGTGGAACACATACATAAAAATAATGATAGAAGAAGAGAATCATATTGAAACTAAAAATTTTTACTGAAACCTAAGAAAACTATATACATTATTAATCATGATATAATTCTTGTTAATCATTTTGTGCGCGACAATTTTAGGATTATATTATTATTCTTCTAATTTTTATTGTTTTCTATTAATTTCAAAAAATAATTTTTTGTTACGTAATTATCTATTTTTTCAAATAAAAAAATTGTAATTTTTAAAATAGAATCTTGATATTGCACTGGATATGCGTACAAAGAAATAAATCAATCAATCTACTGACAAAATTGTTGGAATGTTTTGCAAATGTTACGTTGATTTCTTAAAGATTATCTTCAAATATAAATTAGAAATTATCTTATATATATAAAATAATCACATTAAAACAAATTTATAAAGCTCTCCATAACATCTAAACTTATAATCTATAATAAATAGGCACGTGCCGCACCGAACAAGTATATAATAATAATGTGTTTTATTGTCTGTAATGGACTGTTACAAGCGCTCAATAAATTCGACTTTTTACACTTCAACCTATTCTTACTGTAATTTATATATTATTGGTATGATATAAAACTCTTAGTATCCACTTAAGAGTAATTTTCGGCGAGAGAGACTGACTGAAGTGTTTATGACTATCCTAGGACAAAACCCTTTAAGGACAAATCATAAAAAAGTATGATGATGAATGCAATCTTATATATGATAAGAAAAAATCTACGGAGAACACGCAATTATAAAATCATAATGAGAAAGAATAAAATGTTGAGTTAAGGCGACAGAATCCATCGTGCACCGAAGAAACATGAATTGTCTATAAAAATAACAATAAAAAAGGTAACGGTAGGAAGACGCAAATGTTTCGCACAAAATAAAAAATAAAATATGAGTAAAGAAAAGGACAATAAAAAATAGCGGCAGAGAAAATGTGAAAAGAAATTCTCGAAATGAGCAGAGTGCAAACTAAAGGTTAGTTTATATCAGGTAAGGAAGTAAAGAAGCAACGCGCGAGAAAAGTCTAAAGAAAACTGAAGACATTTGCGAGCCTTTTACCGCATTCAACGATATCCAGGTATTCAGAAAAAAAGGGAAAGAACAAAAGGAAGAAAAGAAAATTACATCATTCAAACAAAAGCCAAAATAAGAAATCAATTGTCCGTTTTTTAGTATACTCATGTATTCATGAAAAACACGATAATTTCTAGATTCTAATTTTTTTTTTCAATTACATACTAGCCGAAAATAATGAACGGATATAAGATATAAATTACTAATTTTTTTTACAGATGAGACATAATTTGTATATAATATGTATAGCTATATTATTATAAACTAGCATCATATCATCATGTGTGATAATATATATATATATGTATATATATATCTCTTTATCTAATTATATTTATCTCTTTTATGAGTTAATATCATGATAGAATTAAAAATCAAATAAATCAGACTATCAGATTTTACAAGATAAATTGTTACTCAAATACCGTTGGTTTTTTTTTTAAATATAACATCTGGAACCAAAAAACTAACAAGATGTTTAAAAATACCTTTCCAAATTAAACGCCATATTCAAACCGACAAAATTCCATTTGTTGTACCCAATGAGAAATCACAAGTCAGAAAGACGGCTATTAGACGTCTATAGATGTCTAATACACATCTAATACACGTTTTTTCGATCGGTATTTCTCACTGGGTATAAAGTTCTCGTAACTATTTTCTTATGTTAAAACATACATACATCAAATTTGTAACGCTTAAAAATTTGACATTGTGAATAGTGTCTGCTGTTAAAGTATAATGTCATGTCTTGCAGTAGAATTGGATTAGTCAATTCGTCCTTTTCCTTTTCCGAGAGCTGAAAATTGGCTTCTTTACAAATAAATCTTTTGGACTCTTTCTTAATGGACACCCGGAAGTATGTCTTAACAATGAACACGTAAACAGAATTCGAAAAAAATTCCTTTTCTTTCTCCCGAGCATCAAAGACTAAACTTGATTAATTTTAACTCTGCACGTAACAATTACAAATATACATGTTGCAGATGACTTTTTACAAAATCAATTGTCACAATTATATTATAACATAATGTTGCCGATTTTTTATAAAATTTTTCACAAAAAGCTTGTCCATAAAGCGTCAAATCTGTATCGACCAAAATTTTTAGTAAATAGACTGAATTTAAAAAATAAATTAATAATATTTAAATCTATGCAAGAAACTAAAATTATTATTTTGGTTAGACTAGTCATACTTATCTCGAAAATGAGATACGATATTTTCTCGATAAAAAATGAATCTTACTTATATTTTTTCACGTCTTAAGGAACATACATAACATAGTAATATTGATTTTATCAATACCAGAATTGGAATACGACTAATGCAATATGTTACCGCATTTCTAAAACCATGAGATTTGAGGTTTTACCATCACTGCAAAATAATATGCTATGCTTCCTTTATCGCAGAAATCTGTTTCTACAACAGTGCAGATGATGTGGAGTTTAGAAAAACTGAGGTATACACATTTGTTCTGAAAGAAATAGTGTCGAAACTGCTGCGCGTGACCAATTAAACTGCCACTGTCCTGTCATTAAAAATAGCTTGATACGTCCTTTCGTTCCTGCCTACCATCACTTATTCTCAACATACAGACTCGACTCTAACAAAATCGCAGCAATAAAACAGCAACAGGTGTGCTAATCCTCGTCTCGCACAATAGATGATTATCCTCGTAACTACACGAAAATATAACTATAATCGACAACGTGTAATCGTTTACGCACGTTATTCCAACGTGATATCAGCGAGAATATTGTATCGCGAATACATATATTATATTCGCATTATACATAACACAATCCAACAAAAAATAATCTTTTTTCAAACACTAGAAAAAGATTAACCCTTTCCCATAGTATTTTTTATACTGAATACGATTTCATTTTCTAAATTGCTTCATCACGTAACAATTTTTTTTGAGAAATTTGCGGTTGAAGTTGCAAAAAGGGCTATTTTAACGTATATATTTAAGATATTATAGCTACGGTATACGGTGTATTGAAGAAGTTTTATTGCAATCAAAATTAAGTATGTTGTTAGGATTCTTTTCTCAAAATCTTTTCCACAGTACTGCGATCTTACAAGCTTTTAACAATACATAACGATAACTACATCGCTTATAATTTTGAATATTGTAATAAATAATCTCAAACTAACATATAAATCTGGAAAAAAATTCCATATATGTATAATGAAATATAAAGATATACAGGATGTCCCTAAATCTCCGAATTTTTTTTAAGGACGGATTCTCTCTTTCTGGTCATTTTGGAAACGATTCTTTTCTTGCACAAATGTTGAGATATTAATAATTTTCGAATGTAAGCAATTGAAAAAAGGGGTTTTCGTAAACTAAACTTTGTAGAGTTAAAAGATCAGAACACAACTGCATTTTTCAGTTAATTTCAGGTTAATTTACTTTAATAAAGTTTTAATTTAAGGCTTATTGTCAGTTACAAAAATATATAATGAAAAATATTGGGAGCTTGCAAAATATGATGACTTTTCTCGACATTTTTGCTGAGAAAACATCGTTTCTAAATTAGCCAGAAAATCTACTCTTAAAAGAAAATTTTGAAGTTTTGGGATATCGTTTAATTATACATAAAATATGTCTATATTATATATTTTCTTTTTCTTATTTAATCTCCGTCCATATATACAGGAAAATAATAAGAAGAATAATTAAATAATAATTAGAAAAATAGTTTTTGTGTGCATTGTTTTTTTTTCAAAAAGAGTGAAACTTGAAAAAGTAAAAAAATTGTCTATATATAAATATATATGTATATGATTATATATGGGCAATTTTTTTTTACTTCTCCAGATTTCATCTTTTTAAGACATGATGCAAAAATTATTCTTCTAATTATTTTCAATTATTTTTCTTATTTTTTTTTTGCTGTATAATACCAATAAGTCAATGAATCTTAATGTTATTAAGAAAGTCATTGACTTATTTGTATTATCTCTAATGTTATTAAGAAAGTCATTGACTTATTGGTATTATCCAGGAGCAATTTATTATGAACACGTAGAGAGAAATCTCACTTTAACTTAAATAAACGTAATAAACAATGATCATCGATCGTAATCACAACTGCGATAAACTTGAGTTTTCGTCTCTAAATTATCTAAGTGCTGAAATGATTTATGAACTTCTGGTACATAGTATATAACTGTTATACACATCCCAGACTATTTTGTGTGTGTGTGATCTTACTACAATCGTGCAATAAAATAATATATTACGCGAATATACCACTTAAAATTGAAGATATACGATACTTGTGCTAAGATTTATGCGCGATTATGATATTAAATTATCATTTTGATATAACATAAACTTTGAAAAAATATTACATATGTAATATCATAATAAAAAAATACATATATTATTAATGACGATGAATAAAACTTCATATAACTGTCAAAATGTATTTGATTACTAACAAATATTTTTATATTTTTGTTATAACATGAAAATACAGAAACTAATACGAGTCCGATTTCATAAAATACGAGAAATATAATTTTCTTCATTAATGCATAAATTAACCAAAGAGATTCAGAAATATTTTAATCTTTATCGAGATCATTTGCAATAAAACAGAAGTAAATGAAAAAATATATAATATAAATTACAATGTAATATAATATATTAAGAAATACAACAAACTTTCTTACTATATTATTTCTTTGATATTTTCAAGCACAATACACGCATTTACGTAACGTAAGAAAGAAAGAGAGGAAGAAAAAAAGAAAAAAGAGAATAGAGAAGAGGAGAGAGAAAAGAAAAATGGAAGATTAATTTGTATATCAGTACCGTTTATTTAAAAAAATTTATCATAAAATTCGTGAAATATTTTGATGGCCTAATATATTTCTAATACCTAAATCGAAAAATTTGGATTATCTCCTTATACACAAAATTGTATTTTAAAATCATTAATTCCCATTTCTATCTCAAATTAATTCCTATTATTTATTAATAAAGAATCAAAAAAATTTATTTTATGATTAGATAATTGAAGATTAGAGATGAAAAATTTCTTTTTTGTCGCAAAAAAATCGACAGAAACAATGCAAGTCGATGCACTGGTATGGAATAAATATGTAACAGCATGTCTTATCGAGAGAGGTGGAGTCACAAGAATTCCTTTTCTTTTTCTCTCTCGCTCTCTTTTTCTTTCTCTTTCTCTTTCGTTCTGTAGATGGGCGACTCGTTGGACACCATTACGATGAGTCGTGGATGTAGATTGGTCGGTCGGTGCTGCTGGTGGGAACAGAGCTTATCCGGTTCGACTAGCTGCGCCCCACCAAACTCGTGAACCATGTTAGTCGATTCATAGCAATGTGAGTATGAAAGTACACGCGAGGAGAAAAGTGGTAATACACGACAGAGGCTCGCCAAAGTCACATTCTCGCTATCGAGACCAAAGGACAAGGATCAAACAAGTTCGTCGCATCAAACAACAACGTTCCGTTCAGTTCATTTGTGTTTTATATGATTCGATTTCGTGTAGTGAACAATTTATTTTTGACTTCCGATCGCGATTTTTTTACTTTGTATTGTGAAAACATATATTTGTATATTGTGTAAATACTTTAATATAAAAAAAAGACATGCCATCATTTCATGACGATTTTGTCACGGGAGAACCGTCGAATCTCAGCAATCTCGCGAACATGATGTCGCATTATAACCAAGCGAACTTTAGCGTTACATATCGCCATCAACAACAACAGATCGCGAATAATCAACAACAGCAACAATTAATAATGCAGCAAGCGCAGCAGCAAACACCGATGCAACAGGTTCAACCGCATACCGCGGCCGCGGTTGCCGCCGCCGTCATTGACGGGAGCCACTGGTATGGATATTCTCCTAGACCCATACCGGCAACACCAGCCCTGCATCCGCAGCATCAGCCGAACGCACACACGCACACAATTCCTTCACAGTTTTTTAATCATGCCGAGATGCTCCCTGGATGGCCTTACTCACCTCATTACTCGCAATATATACAATATCAACACCAACAACTGCATCATCTTCAACCGCAATCACAACAGCAGCCAAACTTGGTACAGCAGCGCATCCAGCAGCGTTCGTTGCTAGATGAACTTAATGGCCAACATTCCTCGCCGGAGCAGAATATGCAACAACATTCGCCAGCTCAGCAACTGTATTCGCAACATTCATCGCCGCAACAAAATATGCAACAACATTCGCCAACCCAGCAAATCTGTCCGCAACATTCATCACCGCATCAAAACATGCAGCAACATTCGCCATCTCAACAACTCTGTTCGCAGCTCTCGTCACCACAACAGAATATGCAAGAACATTCGCCCCCTCAACAAATCTGTTCGCAACATCCGTCGCCGCAGCAGAATATGCAGCAAAGTTCACCACCTCAGCAACATTATCAGCAGCATTCGTCACCGCAACAACATATACAACAAATTTCGCCACCGCAACAACAGTGTCAGCATCATCCGTCACCGCAGCATCACGTTCACCGTGGTCAACGTGTTTCGTTATCCAAACAACAACTTCAAGAATACTCGCAACAATCGTTTGAAAATTCTTATAGACAACAGATATTACATGAGTGGGGTATGAGACACGAGAATGGCGGAATGCCG